TATTCCAGCTCGCAGGACTGGCCTAGGGTAATTTTTAGAGGGGTTTTAATCAATATTTTAAATTGGACAATCTCTAATATTTCTTTTAAATTAATTTTAAACCTGTATTGTTATTTATGTATTTTAATTGATTGTCAGCCGCCCTGAGTCCTACGAGGAGAAGGGCGGGATATAAATCTAAATAATAATAATAATAATATCCAAGGCTTCACAAACCTGTTTCTAGCACCTCTGGCACTTCTTAAATCTTGCATGATCTAATCTGAGTTGTCGTCGGGACCAGAGATTCCGTCTTCCGAGCTTTCAGATTTGTGCTGGGGCCCATCTTCAGGGAACTTCCCTCTATCACTGGGGTAGGCAACCTTGGCTCTTTTATGACTCAACTCCCAGAATTCCTGAGCCAGCCACGCTGAGGGGAAAGGGAGAGGTTTCCAAGCTGAGCCATGCTGGCTCAGGAATTCTGGGAGTTGAAGTCCACGAGTCATAAAAGAGCCAGGGTTGCCTACCCCTGGTCTAGGAGGCTCACTACTTAGAACAGGAGGACTTAGGACAGGGGTAGGCAACCTTGGCTCTTTTATGACTCGTGGACTTCAACTCCCAGAATTCCTAAGCCAGCATGGTTGAGCTTGGAATCTCTCCCTTTCCCCTCAGCATGGCTGGCTCAGGAATTCTGGGAGTTGAAGTCCACGAGTCATAAAAGAGCCAAGGTTGCCTACCCCTGGTCTATCAGAATGGGTGCTGGGGAACCAACCCTGAGGATCGGCTCCAGCATGAATCCGAAAACTTGGAAGAGTAAAACTCTGGTCCAGGTGACTGACCCAGATTGGATCCTGCATCCCCACAGTCATGTGATCAAAATTCAGACCCTTGGCAAATGACTCAAAATGATGACGGTTGCACTGTCCCAGGGTCATCTGATCCCCTTTTGCAACCTTCTGACAAACAGTCAATGGGGGAAAAGCCAGATTCATTCAACCATTATGATACTAACTTAACAATTGCAGTGATTCACTTCACAACTGCCGCAAGAAAGGTCGTAAAATGAGGCAGAATTAGCTTAATATCTATCTTCCTTAGCAACGGAAATTGTGGGGCCAATTGTGGTTGTGAGTCGAGGATTACCTGTAATAGCTACTACTACAGTAACAAGAGAATTTCAAGCCCTAAATCAGTGGTGGCGAACCTATGGCACGGGTGCCAGAGGCGGCACTCAGAGCCCTCTCTGTGGGCACGCGCGCCGTCGCCCCAGTCCTAGGCCTTCAGCTGGGTTTTATAAAACCTTTTCGCTTTAGGCCTCCGCCGCCGTGTGCAAAAAAAAAAAAAAAGGTTTAGTCAATTTTAACTTCTCGCGGGAAAAAAAAAGATCTTGCAAAGTTGGAATTGATTGATTAAATTTTTTAGTCCCACCCAGTCTGCCGTTACCACCGCAGCCACACCCACCCAATTGGCAACACCCAGCCAATGGGCCACACCCACCCGGCACTCGAAATCAGAATTAGAATAGAGCTAGAAGGGACCTTGGAGGTCTTCTAGTCCAGCCCCTTGCTCAAGCAGGAGATCCTATATCATTTCAGACAAGCGATTGTCCAGTCTCTTCTTAAAAACTTCTAGTGATGAAGCACCCACAACTTCTGGAGGCAAGCAGTTCCACTGGTTAATTGTCCTGGCTGTTAGGAAGTTTCTCCTTATCCCCGAAGGAGTTGTTGTTTTTTAAGTTCATAGGAAAAAAAGGGAGTAAACCACTTTTCGGCCTTGTGTTTATCCGGTGTTATGATCCTCTCTAAGCTTTGCTCTGCAAAGCAAAGTAGCTCAACCTTTGATCAGCTACTCCGCTCTTCAAACGGAAGAGAACTATTCACGTTGTGAAAGAAAATAATGAAAGACCCGAGGAACCAATAAAGAGTATTTTCACGGACACCTGATTTGGAATAACTTCCCGGCTCGGCTCCGTGAGCTCCCAAACAGCCTTCTCTTTTAAACCGAAGTCAATGGCTTTGTGGGAGGAAGACAAAAGAAAAAAATGGCCATTGGTTTAGAGAAAGGCAGCAGCAACTGCACGCAGGAGACAGGAGGTGGGGAGGGCTGATGACATTTCAATTGCAACTACCGAAAGCCCCGCAGGTCCCTGCTGTGCCTTTGATCAGTGAATTTCTGTATGACACACGCCCGAGGGCCGCTTTGAATCGGCAGCCGTAGCCCAGCTCAATTATTCCTGCCCTTTTTCCCTGCAGCGCAGAGCGAGTGGGTGCATTGCTCATGAACCTTGGGAGAATACACACAGCCTGCTGCCAGTGCGTATTTTTAAATGAAGCCCTCCAGCGGAAGAGGCTGAATGGAAGTAGCTTTCAGAGGAACCTGAGTTTTCCCCCCTTCCCAAAAAAAAGACCAAACTACTTACCAGTGAAATCTCCAATTCTGTGCAGTGAATGTGGGGACAGACTCTTCCCGTTACTCTATTGAGCACGGGTTCAAGAGCCTGTATTTTCCCTACAAACTCTGTAAAAGGACCTTGGCTGTCAAGGGGTGGTGGAGAACCTATCCTTAAATTCAGGAGGCCAGAAAAGACCTAAAGGAAAATGAGTTCTAGGTTGCCCAATTCAAGAGAAGCTCTCACGGCACCTTCTTTTGTACAATCCGGCTTCCAGACGTAGCCCATTCTGTTATGGATTCCAAGGACGCCATTTTCATAACAGAATAACAGAGTTGGAAGGGACCTTGGAGGTCTTCTAGTCCAACCTCTTGCTCAAACAGGAAACCCCTACACCATTTCAGACAAATGGTTGTCCAGTCTCTTCTTCAAACCTCCAGTGTTGGAGAGCCACAACTTCTGGAGGCAGGTCGTTCCACTGATTGATTGTTCTCACAATCAGGAAATTTCTTAACAAGGTTAAGTCACCTCCCCTTTGAAGAGGTCAGTTTAGGGGCGAAATGACAATGTACTGATCACAAAAAGGGTTCAAGAATTAAAGGGCCTCGGTCATGGGAAGCGCCGTTGGCACTACCTTAGTGTCATTTTTTTAAAAAAAATATCATCCAGTACTAATACTCAAATCATGAACAGGTAAAGGTAACCTGTGGCCTCTGAAATGCTAACCAAATGCTTTCTCTCATTGGCTTTGATGATCACAGCTCACTTGAAGAAGCCTGAAAATTCATTATGTCTTCTAACATTTTGGTGATAGGACACAGAGATACCCCTGGACGTAACATTGATGGCCTTGCATCTCTTGCATTGCGCCGACTTTGCGATTATTCTTTTGAATAATCTTTGTTTTATGGTGGGGAATGAAGAGAAAATGCAGAACCTTGACCTATCCACGCAACTCATTAAGGTAGCCCATTCTTACCAAACATGGTCCACTTACCAGGTGGAGGTTCCTAGAGTTACCTCCCAGTAATGACAGCCACTGTCAATGAACACATTCCCCGTGATTCCATAGCAGCCTGTTCCACTAAATCTCTCGGGGGTGTGACTCTTTTTTAGGGAGCTTTCATCTTTCTCCATTTGAAGTCCATCGTTGGAGATCTTCAACTTCTTATGAGCCATTTTAGGGTCCAGCTTGAAAGGCTGGCCTGCAAGAACAGAAAGCAAAGGTTGAAAGTCAACATAATCCAAATCATTTTTCCCCCCAAAAGTTTCCCACCTTCCTGTGCAATTATTTGTCATTTTCCAATTCTCTAAAGAAGCCCGATTCCTTAACAATAACAGTAATAATTAAACCAACTGGAAGCATACAAAAATAGAAGTTACATAAATAAGCGCTGTGAATCGGGCTCTCGCCACCAAAGTCCAGCTGGACAACATCCATGTTAACTATTTTCTTGTAGGCAAGAGGAAAGGGTTTAAATGAGCATTAGAAGGCAGGAAGTTTTCTAATTCTTACTCTCTCTCATCAGGAGTATAGTCATTTCCGAGAAACAAATCAAAGTTATAAAAGGGTATGTCGACAACCAGTTGGGTATTATGAGAATACTGTTTTACAGGTAGTCCTTAAGCTATGACCTCAATTATATTTTTATTTTCTCCTCAAATTCTGAGGGTAACTCTCAACTGATGACCACAATCGAGTCCAAAATGTCCACTGCTAAGGAAGACAGTTGTTGAGTTTTGCCCCATTTTTTTGTCCTTCCTTGCCGTAGCTGTTATTAACGTGGTGGTTAGGTGAATCTGGCTTCTCCATTGACTTTGCTTGTCAGAAGGTCTCAAAAGAGGATCTCATGATCCTGGGACAGTGCAAGCGTCATAAATATGAGTCAGTTGACAGCATCTGAATTTTGATCACATGACCACGGGAGTTGTAAGTGTGGAAAACGGTCATATGTCACTTTTTTCAGGGCTACTGTAACTTTGAATGATCACTAAACAAAAGATTGTAAGCCAAGGTCCACTTGAATTCTTCCTAAAGCAGTGATGGCAAATCTTTTAGAGATCAGTGCCCCAAAATGGCCCTGGGCCTGCCCCCGCTCCGGCCCCCACCCCACCCCAGCCTACCCCCTGCCCCACCCACCCGCAGGGCCACCCACAACCTCCACGGCCCACTGCAGCAGATCGCGCAGGCGACCCTGCAGCGCCATATTGACCACGCCCTCTGCCCACACCCCGCAGCATCATCTACACACGACGGGGCGCGAGGACGGAGTCTTGTCTCTGCTGCCTGGCTGCCATGTCCTTGGCTGCGCTGCTCCGCGTGGGCCACGCCCAGGGGCAACTCTCCTCTGGGGGGGGCTGCTGGTGAGGAAGGGGCCATGGGGGGAGGCGGGGCTGGGGCGATGGTGTGCGTGCCCACAGAGAGGGCTCTGAGTGCCGCCTCTGGCACGCGTGTCATAGGCTCGCCACCACTGTCCTAAAGGGTTGGAAATGACTATGTTAAACAATCTAGAAAAAACGTTTCCAGCTGATCCTCTGGCATACTGAAAAAAAATCACCTCAGAAGAACCCACAATGGCTCAAGAAAGCTCCCAGATCATCTGCCTCGCTTGAAGAATGCTGACACCAAGATTTATGTTTCTGAAGTCAACAGGTTTTTGTTTTTTTTTACGGGCATGTTTCTAAATTGCTACCTATCCTTGCTTGCAACATGCAATTGAAAGGAACTTAACTCTGCAAGCAACCCTTTGGGATTTCAGCAGGAATAGTCCCACTGGAGACTGGATTTAATTTCCCAATTAACTATTGTGCCTTGTCTTCCAGACCTGCTAAAAAGACAAACCCGGATGCTGTTTTTGAGAGGCAGAAATGGAAGAGCGAGATCTTGCAAAGCAGGAAAGACAATAAAATCTAATTCTCTGCAGCCTTTATTCTCTGTTCGCATGAATGTGAATTTTCCAGGCATACCGTAAGGGAAAGCTAACTCCCCTTAAGTGCTGGTATAATAATCCGGTAGAGCTGCAGAGAGAATATCAGGATATTATTTAGTCTTTCTCCCCACAACTACAGCCCAAATGCCAGTCTCTCCCCACAGCAAAAACACTGTTATTACGTTTTATAGGAAAGCATGCCCACGTGGCTTCACAATCTTTTTTTCCGCCCCTGATGGACGGTTGGATTCGAGGGCCTTTTCCTCCTATGGGTGGCTCTGGCTGCAGACACTAATCAAAAGCTGAAAATCAGTTTCCTTCCATCCTGCCAGTGACAGAATGAGATACAACCTTAGTTCATCACAGTGCACGATTCCCAAGGCTGGGAAAACTTGAGGTGCAGCGGGAGATACTCTCCTGCTCCTTTAAGCCGTCCATCATCGTCTGATGCTACTTAACTGCATCAACAGCACAAGCTTTATTGAATCATCAAAGTCCAGATAGATCTATAATGTGTGCAAGAAATGCTTAGATACTCTGCCAGGTTTTCTCAACGGCACAAGATGCATCTTGTATCGTTGTTGATAGAAGGAACTGCAGAGAACTGAAATCCACTGTCAATCCCCTTATCGTGGACATCAAGAGATCTTTGAAGGCCAGTTCTATGCTGCTCTTTACAGACTGGGCAGCACCTTGTCCACACATGCAACAAGCTGTATTCTCTTTGTTTTTCCACTTACAAAAAAGTTGGACGCTGCCAGCATTTTATTTTTGCAGAACGATCCCTTCCTAATACATGGCCTGCCGTGATTTATTTCACAACGAAAGAGGCAAGGGAAAGGGGAAGAATTGTGTTGGTTGTAATTAAATAATTGCAAGCAGCCACACGGTAAGCATTAATGGCCATAAACTGCAATAATTCAATGGGGCCATCCATATGTCAGGGGACAGTCGACAGAGGCATAGTTCAAGTATGAATTTCCCCAAGTATCTGAAAGCTACTGCTGCAAAAAAAAAAAAAAAGACAATACGTTTTGCACGGAAACGTAAAACTGGAAGGAAACTTGCAGTTCAGTTGCCCTTAATCTAGTAATCAGCGTTATATTAGCTCCGTGCAAAGGAATATGGAATGGAAGGTCTCAAGGCCAAGGAGAACAATCTGTCAACTCTACAAACAAACTTAGCCAAATGTCTTCATTTTTCAGTTGCCATAGAATTAGGGGGGGGAATGAGTGTTTTTTAGCTTAGTCAAAACAATAAATTGTTCCATGGGAACCAAGGTCATTGCTGGTTGCATCTTGGTGGGCTAAAGTTTTCATTAGAAAGCCCCTGCAAGTAGTTAATTGGGGATTGTGATTTATGACACATTACTGGGATGGGAAGTTCAACTTTGTAACATTGTAACCTTTGGGGGGAAAATCAAGTCTTGGGTCCACCTTTGATTGTGCCGATAATGTGTAGCCAAATAAATATGTTCTTTAAGGAAACTTTTTTGCCTTGGAGTTCTTTTTACTGGTCTTATCTATCAGAACCATGACATAATCTATGTGCCAAAGATAACACTTCCCACCCTCCCCAAAGACTTAGATAGGACCTCCACAATCCCTCAAGATATGAGCTTCAAACTATAATTTGGAGATAATGAGAGAGGGGGGGGGGAATGCATGGGAAAATAATGCTACGATATCTGATTTGTTTTTTAAAGAACAATATTTAGATTACATTAAAATTAAAGCCTTTTTATTTTTTTACTCATCTGTTGCAGGGGAATGAAGGCTCCAGCTGACTAGAACTCACCTTCTTCTGGGTGATTGGCCCATAGTCACCCAGTCAGCTTTCATGGCTAACTGAACTCTAGAATTCACAGTCTTCTGGTTTCTAGCCTAGTGCCTTAACCACTAGACCAGGGGTAGGCAACCTTGGCTCTTTTTATGACTTGTGGACTTCAACTCCCAGAATTCCTGATCCAGCATGGTTCAGCTTGGAAACCTCTCCCTTTCCCCTCAGCATGGCTGGCTCAGGAATTCTGGGAGTTGAAGTCCACGAGTCATAAAAGAGCCAAGGTTGCCTACCCCTGCACTAGATCAACCTGCCTCTTCCATGAGGGCACAACATTTGCTCCAAGCTCTTGTGCAGTGAAGGATCAGCAAATGGCTTTTTGGACCAATCCAGAAAGTCAGTTCCATGCATAGCTATGTGGTTTGCAAAAGTTGTGCGGTCTCCTAAGTAAAAACAACAGAGCCTCCTTGAGGGATGCATGCCCACAGTTGGTTTTGAGAATCCGTGGCTGCAGTTGGGAGTTCTCGAAAAACAATTCTGGATACCCTGCAGGTGACAATGAACCTGGGTGAACCAAGTTCACCCTCCAGCTCTGCAGAGTTAACCACGTTGAGGAACATTCTGAACAGTATTTGACAGGAACACGTGCGCTGAGAAGCGAGAGGAATGACATAACCAATCAATTGTTATTCCCCAGCAGAAGCAGAACTCAGCTGAAGTCTGTCAAAGCACATCTTTGTTGGAGTTCAAGAAGGCTGTCAGACTCTCGGCTCTGAAGGAGCTTTTGGGCAAGGGAGCGCCTGCGTGTTTATTCATCTCCCCCTCCTTTAATTGCATTTTTATAACATTCTGGATTTTCTAAGTGTGGTTAGAAGCTGTTCTGGAGTGCAAGAGAACGTGTTTTGCAAATAGATGGGGACATTGCTCAATAGTACTGATGCCTAACTATAAGTGGGTGAACTATTGCAAGATTTTGGCAATCTCACACCCAAAATCTCAGAGGGTTTCCTAGAATCAGGGTTGGGAGGTGACACTCTTGAGACCTGCAGGGGTCGAGATTAAACCATTCATCACAAGTATCTGTCCAGCTTCTATCTGGACATGTTCAGAGAACAAGACTCTATTACTGCTCTGGGTAACTGATTCCTAACACTGTACAAGCATCTTCCTGTAATGTAAGGCTCTATTCATTGTCCTGTACTTTGAGAGGACCCAGAACACATTTCAAGCTGACTCCCTTTTATATGTTACTACAATATCCCATCTTCCACCTTCCTTTCTCAAGACCAAACATTCCCAATCCCTTCAACTACTTCTCCTTGGGTGTAATTTCCAAGGAGACTCCGTATGAGAATTCAAAACTATCACGCGCTAAAAGAATTCAAATCCTGCAAATGTCATTTCAGAAGGTAACTTATAATAATAATAATAATGATAAAGTTGGAAGGGACCTCGGAGGTCATCTAGTCCAACCTCCTGCTCAGGCAGGAAACCCTATACCATTTCGGACAAATGGCTGTCCAGTTTCTTCTTAAAAACTTCCAGTGTTGGCGCATTCAATCCCATTCTAAAATGTGCTTTGCTGAAAAAGCCACGACGTATCTCTGCTCTAAAAACTTGGTCCAAGAAGGGAAAAAAACCATGAAATCTAGGATTTAAGGTCTCCTTTTCCAAAGTATCCCCCTAATTCCTCCGAAGAACCTTCGTTCCACTGCTGGGCTGCAACTCCAGCAGCAGATGTGAAGATTGCAAATGAAAAGCTACCCTTGTATTACTATACATTCCATGCTGGAAGATGCAAGCGGTTTAAAAACAGAAGCAACCTGTCCGAGTCAAGGAAATAAAGATGGTGAGGTCCACTTTAACAGACTCTGATTACAAATTGGTGGTACAGTCAGAAGCCCCCAACCCATCTCATTTTCCAGTTTATGGTTCCTCTCTGACATACGTTGGCTAACAGGTCATGAATCCTCAGCTGGTTGTTTGGTTAATTTAACAGATGGAATTCCTCTGCAGTGTGAAGCACTGGGCCACCTCCTAATCACTCAGCTGAATGACAGACACGGCAGTCCATGTCATACCCTCTTTCCCTCTATAACCCTTTCTTGCTGGCAATTTATTGACACAAGTCAATACCCTCCAAAGGAAAGGCTTTTGTCAGGGCTCAGCTCATCCAGCCAGTCAACAATTCATCCCTTTCTGAAATCCTTGCAAACCTGTGAGTGGTGTGTTTTCATAATAAGCAAGCAAGCAAAAAGAGAAGATTTTCATCAAAGCTGAGCTTTTCTCCTCAACGTGGAGACAAGATTTGATTTGCTTTTTATTTTTGCATACTTTCTTCTTTCTAGGGAGCTGAAGGAAGCAGCGGAGGCTATAAATCATTTTAAATGCCCAGTCAAACCCCGAAGACAGGAAAGATTGAAATATCAAAGTGGGAAGGACCCTGGGATCCATTAAAACTCACTTTCCACCGGACAAATGAAGTTGGGTTTAAATATCCTCTAAAATAGGTTTGTGATAATAGGTTTCTGGATACAAGTTCCTTCTCCTATCTCTTGAGTCGATTCTTTTCATACATCTGGCCCATCTCGTTCATCTCATGCAACTATTCAAATCCAGTGGACCTCTAAAATTGGTTAACTTTGAGATGTTCACCAAAGGAAGCTTTCTGGTGCTCCAGTCTGCTCTTGGATGGACTTCCTGGACAGTGTGGTAGTAAGAAGTGGCAAATATTTACTCCATAAATTTCCCTGTGTTATGGATTCAGGATATAAGACTTTTTTAAAATACCCTCTTGGTGTAACCTCCTTGAGGTTTCTCAGAAAACATTGCTATAGCTATTATAACCAGGAAGATGACGCCAATCTGGCCCAACAGCCAGCAGTAATGGAAAAGGGTGGTCCAGTATCTTGAGATCCAAAACAGAAAATGCCTGCCCTGAAGCTTTTCTCCAACCGGTTTCTGAAAAACCTGATCTGCTCTATCACGGAAACGTTAGAACCAACCCTTCTCACAAAGAGCATTGCCTTTCCTTTTCATTCAGCTTGGAATACAAAACTGAAATACATGTCAAACAGGATTTTTGCTTTCTTTGAAAATGAAAGTACCCTCTCCAGTCACTTTTTCTATTGTCTTTCCATCAGTTTCAATAGTCCACCACAAGCATTCTGGGTTTTGGCACTGTGGTCCCGTTTTCCCCTGTTAAGACTGAAAAAAACGAGAGACTGTAGCAATCTGTCACAAACACACCCCATTCTGTTCATGTCAGAGGCACTTCTGGGTGGAAAGGATTAGCCGTGACATCACTGTTGCCCGGGGGACGCTCGTGGGAGATCCTTTCATGTCCCCATCAGAGAGCTGAAGCAAATGACAGGAGCTCACCCTGCCACACAGCAGCAGCAGCACTTGGGTCTCAAACGTGGGCTTGCTAACCTCCAACACAGCATCTTAACCACGTCAGCCATTGCACTCCACAGCCTGTCGTGATTCGATAATATGCAGTGCCCAACATGGCTTAACCTGATGACTCATTCTGCAAAACCGAGGGGGATGGCTACATTTCCTACAATACCCTGAACTACACAGTACTTAACTCCATTATAGTTTAATGTAACATGGTGTGCAAACCCAGCTAGTGTTAGCCAGCCTTGATAAACAGTCCAGGATTCTCCCTTTAAGCTTAACCCCATTCCAGACTCCGAAGGACTGGAATCCACCACCCCACCTTTGTAGCAACTGCAAGATGTTCTTGCAGACATTTTTTTTTTTCATGCTTCTCTTCCACGCTCCATGCATTTTCTCTTTCCCCTCCCATTTCTGAACCAGGAAGAAAGTCCCAAGCCATGGAAATGCTTACTGTTAGTCTTGAGCCTTGCAGGCTCACTATTGCGGCTGCCAGCCTGATTGATTGCCTTGACGAGGAAGATATAGCGCGTGCCGCTTTGCAACCCATGCACTGTATAATGGTTCTGCTTGATGTTGGGGACGATCATCCAGCTGTCCATAGAATTGTAGAGACCTGGAAAATAAAAGAGTAGAACAGCCGTTCTAAATATATATATATATTGTTGCTAGAGTCACACAACAAGCAGTTTGTGCCAAATTCCGCCTTTTCATCTCAGCACTTACTCTTTTGAAGTATTTAGCTTTCCTTGGGCTTATTTGGAGCCACTGACATACCATACCACTTCTACAGCTTTTGGGAATGCAGAGATACGGTACACGAATCACTAGAGCAGGGGTCTTCAAACTTGGCCCTTTTATGATTTGTGGACTTCAACTCCCAGAATTCCTCAGCCAGGCATAAAAGGGCCAAGTATGAAGACCCCTGCGCTAGAGGGAACAGGAACAACTAAGGAAGCAGCAGGAGAAGGCACACAGATCTTTTCAGATCCCTTAATCTCTCGCCAGGCAATTTGGAGAAACTGTGTGTAGAAAGGTAACAAAATGTCTGCAAGAAAACAACCAGGCTCAGAGAGCACCAGGGACTAGGTAGGTAGGTAGGTAGGTAGGTAGGTGGGTGGATGGATGGATGGATGGATGGATAGGCAAGCAGGCAGGCAGAGTTAGATAGATAGATAGATAGATAGATAGATAGATAGATAGATAGATAGATAGATAGATAGATAGATAGATAGATAGATAGATAGATAGATAGATAGATAGATAGATAGATAGGCAGAGATAGAGAGATAGAGATAGAGATAGAGAGAGGGGGGGGGGTGCAAATTAAACCAAAGGGAATAGAATAGAATACAGCAGGATACTTTCTTTTTAAAACCTGCTCTGATTTTCCCTATAGCAATTTTAGTGCCAGACACACAGAGGCCAGGAGCTGGCCTTGAGCTTGAGAAAAAAAAATGTCACACTTCCCCTGTCTGATCTATGGCCGGAAACCAGCTGAGAAATAACAAAGCCAGTAAGAGATAAGATGGGCAAACTAAGTGCAGGAAGTGGATTATCAGGCTTACTTTGCAAGCCCTGTTCACTGGATACCTTTAATAGGAGATAACATCTTGTACAAATCACCAAAGTCTAATTTTACACCTTCTTCCTTCGCCCTCTAATCCCAAATAGTAAACAGTTTAGAGAATGTGATCTTCTAGAGTGTCTAAAGGAAAATAAACATTGGGTATACAAGAACAGGAGATGTTTGAAGGGCTAATTCCCAATTCACAAATTATAGCCGTTATGCGTGTGTGGTGTGTACAGGTGCCTCTAAATACAGGAACAAATATTTGCCACCCTGGACTATCTTGATAGCTCTTCCATTGCCACCTCAGCAATCTTCTTGATCTTCTCTATCAATCTTACTTTTCTTGTCCTTCCATCAACCTTGGCAAGCATTTTTTTCCCTAGATTAACATCTGCCTGCATATCAAATCCGGAGTAAGTTTCTACTTGTTGATCATTGGCTTAAGGGAGCAGCTAGTCTTTTGTTGGCCCAGTACTGAGAAACTGATTCTTCTTACAGTGCATGGTATTCTTAGCACCCTTCCCCAAATCTATAATTCTGAAGCATCTCCTTTTTCTTGTTCCTTCACAATATACAGCTTTACCCTCATGGAGATAACGTGCAACTTTATACCAATCTGATCGTGAGACTCCTCTCTATACAATACTATCTGCACTGCTGGCCTTCTGTCCAATCCACAACACTTTGTCCAGACTTTGGATTAAAACATGAATTTGGACTGGATGGATAGTTTAATTTTATCCAGCATGCTTTTTATACCGAGAGCCATTTTTGTGGTGTTTAAAACATTCTATGGTCCATTCAAGCTTATTGGGAAATAAATCCCAAGAAACATAACTGGACTCCCAAGTTAATTGTTCCATCCTTCATTGAATGTTAAGCTAGAAGTTCAGTCCCTGGTCCCCAAAGCTGGAACAAAAACCCCAATAAAGCTTAGTTCAACAGACAAAGCAGCTCTGAAAATGGCAATATTTGGTATATTCCCTATTGTCCTCCTGTTATTGTTATTGTTATTCAGTCAGACCCTTCAGTCATATTCAGTCGTATCAGACCCTTCGTAACCCCATGGACCAGAGCACACCAGTCCCCCTTGTTCCCGCCCCCCCATCTCCCAGAGTTTGCCCAAATTCATGTTCATTGCATTGATGACACTATTTAACCATCTCATCTTCTGCTGTTCCCTTCTCTTTTTGGCTTCCATCTTTCTTAACATCAGGGTGTTTCCCAATGAGTCCTCTCTTCTCATTTGGTGGCCAAAGTATTTGGGGTTCAGCCTGTCTCCTTTTCAAAGAACAGTCACGGTTGATGTTCTTTTGTTGTTGTTGTTGTTAGTTGCGAAGTCGTGTCCGACCCATCGCGACTCCATGGACAACGTTCCTCCAGGCCTTCCTGTCCTCTACCATTTTCTGGAGTCTATTTAAGCTCACGCCTACTGCTTCAGTGATTCCATCCAGCCACCTCCTTCTCTGTCGTCCCATTCTTCTATTGCCCTCAATCTTCTTCTCCAGTGAGTCCTTCCTTCTCATTAGGTGGCCAAAGTACTTGAGTTTCAACTTCAGGATCTGGCCTTCTAAAGAGCAGTTGGGGTTGATCTCCTCTAGGACTGACCCGTTTGATCGCCTTGCAGTCCAGGGGACTCACAGGAGTCTTCTTCAGCACCATAGTTCAAAGGCCTCAATTCGTTTGCGCTCAGCCTTTCTTATGGTCCAAACCATGTTCTTTAGGACTGACTGATTTGATCTCCTTGCAGTCCAAGAGACTTTCAAATGTTTTCTCCAAGAGTCTAGTTCTGGCCTCCACAAAGATCTGGATGGACAGAGATGAGCTGCTAATTTTTTGCTCACAGAAAGCATATTAAAGGTATCTATATTCACCTGTAACCCCTGGCTTTCTTTGGTTTCTCTCCCCCCCCTCCACTTCCCCTTGCCAAATGAAGGTTTGAAAGGAGTGTCGTGATTACCCAACCCAGGCAATACCTGGATGAGATGGTTAGATGCTGTCATAGATGCAACGAACATGAATTTGGGCAAACTCCAGGAGGGTTTGGAAGCCTGGAAGCCTTTTTATCATGTACCTGGAAGAGAGGGAGATGAGAGGTCAATCAATCCCTCTTCAGGGGTTAATTCACAGGTAGCATCCGCTCCTCTCCTACTTACACCTAGGTGTGCAATGCAAGGTATGGCCAAATGAGGATATAGTGGCTCTCTGCTGCAGCAACTTTTGCAGGGGTCTTCAAACTTGGCCCTTTTATGACTTGTGGACTTCAACTCCCAGAATTCCTCAGCCAGCATGCGCTGGCTGAGGAATTCTGGGAGTTGAAGTCCACAAATCATAAAAGGGCCAAGTTTGAAGACCCCTGAGCTAGTGCCACGAGAGACTTGATTTTGTCGCATGGGATGATCTGCTGGAGTAAACTCTGTGATTCAGTTGTGCCAGGGATCCTTCAAAAAGCAAAGGAGTTCTACCAGAAACCTCCGATGCTTCTTTTTTCTTCCTAACTCTCCCTTCTCTTGGATCTTCCTGCTGTCTGCCTGGAGACACAGCCTCTGTAACTTGCTGGCCGTTTCTTCCAAGCTTTCCACTCGCAAAGCTCAGGTTCTGCTGAAGCTGGCAGAGAAGAAGGAATTGGATTGTTCTGCTCCTGGGTGGAAAGATTAGAAGACCAAGGAAGGGCATAAAATAGAGAAGATATCCGCAAGCTCCAGGTGGAGCTGTGTTGTATCAGGTTCCCAGGCAAAATAGCGGCAGAAATTCCCAGTGTGGAACGACACAGCTGGTAGCCTTGAACTTGGCTTAGGGGTCTCAGAGACACAGCCCGGCGTTCCTCTGTAAGAAGCTTGACTGCTGGCTAGGATGAAGCTTCCATAAGAGTTATCCTCTGTCAAAGCAAAGACACAAAATCCTCCTTACGCCCCAAGGCAGTTCAAACGTATTGCTTCTTCCTCCTGTTATATGTCAACAGACTTTAAGCTTCACGACCTTGAATGAATGGCTGTTGATCATTCATGTCACCATCATCTTTGCCCTGGAGCCTCCCAGATTAACTCTCCTTTTTCCAGAATGCCTGGATCTACAACCTTTATATTTTCCTCTTCTGCAAAGCCAACAATTGGGGAACACTGATCCATGCTCATAGATTTGGGGGGGAAGGGGCATTTAAGCTTTTGACTAACATGCTGGCGACCAAAAAAACCAGGGAGGACCTGACAAAGCCCAACTTTAATTCCTATCTCGACTGAAATCCACTTAGTGGACCTGATTATTCCCCATGAATGTAATAATCTTTCACTCCTGTTGCTTTAACTATTGCCATCTCTGGGAACGCCAGCTTAGGTGGAGAGGGCCTATCTCAGTGTAACATCTCAAGTTATGCACCAAGACCAGGGGTCTTCAAACTTGGCCCTTTTATGACTTGTGGACTTCAACTCCCAGAATTCCTCAGCCAGCCAGTTGAAGTCCACAAGTCATACAAGGGCCAAGTTTGAAGACCCTTGACCAAGACCATCAAGTGAGAGGCTGTAGTCCTTTCCGCCCTTGCACTGAACTTGGGTATGATCTATCCTCCCCTTTTTCCTCAAATTCAGTGAACTATGCTTTGCTAGATCACTTCTACCTACCAAAAACAGATTAAATACACAGCGCCCATCATAACGGTGAGATTTCTCAAGCCAGCGCCATTTCAGAATTCAAGAAAGGGAAGTCATTTGAATTCTTTACGCTAAATCACAAAGCAAAGCTTGGATGCTTTCTCAACCTTGCTTGCCACAAATAGGGTGGGGAAGCGACAGGCACCAAAGACCAGGTACAGTATACATGGGAAGGTTCAATTCAATAGGATTGTTGCTAAAATGCTTACAACTCAGGAATCTTCTCAACCAAAGGTCAGCACCTGCTTGGAATTTTATTTATGTATTTGTAGGATTTATAGGGCCATCCACTCGCCCTCAGTGACTCCAGGCAACTTACAAACAGTAAAAAAAAACCCAATGTAAAAAGAATAAAAACAATAACAGCTAAATAAGGGTCAATTGAATTCGGGGGGGGAGGGGACTTAGTCCACTTGTGGCTATGTAGGGATTCTAGGTTAATCCCTCTTTTAACTCCACCTCCAGGTTCTGCCACTCCTTCTTCTATTCAAGCCGTCTTAAGGGTGTCTTTGCTTTCTAACAGGACTCTACAATGCATCCCAATGTATCACAAATAAATTACACTGCGATTATCCGAGTCGGCTTTTAGCCAGCAAATGAAATCACGGAGGCTTTTTGTTGGATTTAAAGTCCATACAAGCAGGGGATAAGAGATGCAGAATGATAGAGTTGGAAGTTGGGGGTCTGGCAGCCATGCCTCATTACTTACAAACAACAACTGTTGCGGGAAGCCAGCTTCCCTCCCTTCTCACTATCACATCAAGTTAAGCAATGGCTGCACAACCTGCCGCTTACTTCTATTGCCTTTCTGATGAGTTTTCTTCCAGGTGAGCTATTGGAGCAACGGGAAACCAGCAAGCTACTCAGAGCAGTGGGTCCTAGAGTACTGAGTGAAAATGCTTGCAATCGATTCCCTCTTCTTCCCTGGACTGAGATTGTATCACACCCATTTCTGATGTTGCTAAAGGTCACCCTGAAAGTTCAGGCTAAGTTGAGAAGTCAATGGGGTGGAATAGAACGGACAGAGTCTCTAGGCACAGATTGAGCTATAGGTTTCAGCTAGCAATCCATCTGAAGCATATCCAGTAGCCACGGAGCAAGTGGCTACTTCTGACATCTGCCTCACCGTGGGTTCAACTCTGCATCTATGGTCCGGCAAGCCAGATTTGCTCCTACACCTCCTACAACTTGTAGTAAGTCATAAGATTTTTTTTTAAAAAAGAAAAGCAGTTAAGTAAGACAACCCAATAAATCTCCTAGAAAAGCATCCATAAATTTCCTTCAGAGAGCCTTGAAAGAATTCAGTGGCTTATCAGGGAAAGTTCAATGAAGAGATTAGTTACACCGCAAGAGAGGATCAAGTTTCTCTATCGTGCACTGGAGAGACAGGGATAATTCTTGCTTGGACAACTGTGAAGGCCAAGATCCTTGATGGATTCATGCTCTACCTCCCACACATCACCCAACCACTAATTAACTTTTTATGAGACAGTCTAGCATAGCCACCTATCTTCTATAGCTTGGAGTTTAGGCAGGTCTGAAGGCCAGCAAGGTCCCAGAATTCTGCATCTTCAAGGAACGGTTGAGTATTCAATTGAGGCCTCCATCACCCACCATCTAAATCTTGACAACTTTAAGACTTGTGGGTTTCAACTCCCAGAACCTGCTGGGGAATACTGGGAGTTGAAGTACATAGGTCTTAAAGTTTCCAAGGTTGGACACCCCTGATCTAAATATTTTTTTATGAGCTAATGGAAAGCAGGGGGGGATTCTCAATCTAGTTTGGAGTTGGAAAGAAGCAGGTGGGGAGAGCTTCTAAGCTCATCTGATCCTGAGATTTTAACGTGCTTCCCCTCCCAGAAATAGTGCAGCATTGCTTACATATTTGTTCAACTGAGCACAGAACAGGAAAAATCCCCCATCTCATAATACAAGTGCACCCTTTCTCCATCCAGCAATTTCCAGTGATATCCAAGTACATGCATGGGAAAGTACATACAGTTTCTTTCCTGGAAATCCATCCTTCCGATAAGCAAATACTTGGGCCCATCTCAATTCCATCCTCTCCAACTAATTGGCCAGGACAGGGAGAAGATGACTCTGAGGTTGCAAGCCATGTCTCAAGAGCATTCAAGAGAGCTGTGGTGGCACAGTGGTTAGAATGCAGTATTGCAGGCTAACTCTGCTGACTGTCAGCAGTTCAGTCCTGACCGGCTCAAGGTTGACTCAGCCTTCCATCCTTCTGAAGTCGGTTAAATGAGGACCCAGATTGTTGGGAGCAATATGCTGACTCTGCAAACTCCTTAGAGAGTGCTGTAAAGCACCATGAAGCAGTATATAAGTCTACGTGCTATTGCTATATAAGACCCATAGTGGTACAGTGGTTAGAATGCAGTATTGCAGGTTAACTCTGCCCACAGCCAGCAGTTCGATCCTGATGGGGCTCAAGGTTGACTCAGCCTTCCATCCTTCCGAGGTGGGTAAAATGAGGAGCCAGACTGTTGGGGGCCATATGCTGGCTCTGTAAACCGCTTAGAGAGGGCTGTAAAGCACCGTGAAGCGGTATATAAGTCTAAGTGCTATTGCTATTCATTCAAGTTACCCGCAGCTCCAGCAAACTACACTGCAATGGTCAAGGTTGAGTAGCAGCCTACCTCAATCATGGCACCAGTAGAAACTGAAGAAACAGTGACTTACTGATAAAGTTGGCCTGGCCGGTGAAGATGGTATACTGGAGCTCATATGAGCTGACGCTGAACTCATCATCTGAGATCCAGTGGACAGTGATGGTGTCATGGGAGGCGGTGCAAAGCTCTTCACGGACAGCGGGTGGGTTGGGTGCTGTAGAAGCAATAGCAGACAAGATGTGAGCAGGTTCCCGTCCTCCACAGGAGAACGCATTCAGGGATTGTATCTTTGTTTTACAAAGGTAAAGGATTCTCCTGTTCAACTCTGGGGGACTGTGTACACCTCTGTTTCTTAGTCAAGGGAACCAGCATTGTCCATGGTCCTGTGGCCAGCATGACTATATGCCGAGGTGCACGGAATGCTTTTTCCCATTGAAGTGGTTCCTATTTATCTACTCGCATGTGTCTGCTTTTGAACTGGCAGGAACTGAGGCAGGTAACAGGAGCTCACCCAATCGCACGGTGCTTGGGTCTCAAACCTAGGCTATGAGCTTTTCAGCCGACAAGCTCAGTGATTTTAATCATGGAGCCAATGTGCTGCTTGCCTTTGTTCTATATCGCGTGGATTGACTGAAATTTACAGCCCAGTTGTGACAGAAGGTGGAACCGGCCACTGAGAAGGGGGAGGACAACCCAGGGTCATTATAGAAAAGATATTAGAGTCTTAGGAAAGTAGGGCGCGTGAGAAAGAAACTCAAAGTAACTTTGCCTTGGTTTTGTTCGGTATCTGCTAAAATGAACTGGGGCCGTGACAAGCTTTCAGAGTTTCGTCATAATATCCTAACCACATTAAAGCACTCTATGTACTTATACAGCGTGTATGTACTTATGCAGCCAGGAATGCTGGAATTTCCATTGCTAAATGGGGTGATGATGTGACCTTCTTACTTACAAGTGCATTACGTAGCGATGGAAATTCCAGTCCCAATTTCCATTGCTAAGTGGGAACTAGCTGTCCATTTACACCAGCGCTCTCCAAACTTGACCGCTTTAAGACTTGTGGACTTCAACTCCCAGAATTCCTCAGCCAGCATGGCTGGCTGAGGAATTCTGGGAATTGAAGTCCACAAGTCTTAAAGCAGCCAAGTTGGAAGACCCCTGATTTACACCATACTGATGTGAACTTTGAAGCAGGGCACCCCTATCTGGTGTTCTATGTGGCGATTCTTGTTCTGTTTTGCGCCGGGCTGACAGAAATACATTCCCTTTCTAACACCAAGTAGGTTTTACTCTTGAGGTTATACAAGGCACAAAAGGAACGAAGCAAATTGCATCCCCTCTATTTATTCACCAAAGTCCACAGCACTGGAAAATAAAAAAACGAGGGAGGGGGGGAAAAAGCAGAGCAAGGTAGGGAAAGGAAAAGGAGCCACCAAAGACTTAAGACTGCCGAATCGGCACAAACCTGTTAGATAATCCAGCCCCTCCAGCAATTTCTTCTCTCTGGAAAAATCTAAAGCAAAGTTTTCAAAGGCATCGTTAAAATTGATATCGGGGATCAAAACTTGAGAGGATGCAGTTGCCATGGCAACCCTGAAAGACAGAAAAAAGAGCATCGCTAACCATTAGGTGCGGCTTGTCATTCCCAGGCGGCACTTTGATTTTTGATGAAAGAGCTGGAAACTGCCTGGCCATGTTGTAAACTCTTGTAGCAAAGGGGATGGGCGGGGGGGGGGGGGGGGGGGGGGGGGGGGGGGGAGGGAGGCTGGGGAAGGGGAGAGACAAAGAGAGAGAGAGAGACAGAGAGACCAGCAGGACAAAGATGGTGGAGACATTCCTGAATTTGGAAGGCAAGACAAAAGACTGGAAGCCGGAAGAGGGCCGTCTGATCCACCTAACCCAGTTCATTATTCCATTCCTTCATTTATTATTTACTTTATTCCTGGTATTTTTACGCCGCTCGGCTGCAAAATGGCTCCAAGAAAAATACGGCAGAAGGAGAAGTTTAAAACATCAAAACAGTGACAATATTACTAATCAGCAAAGACAGATCATTGATCTCAGCAAGGGCTGCTTGCCTGAAAGAAGGGCTGGAATACATTAACGACGTATAGCTGAATTAATTATTAAGTTATGTATCAAGTCTATGAAGGCCAGGATGGCATCACTGGCCTCTAATGCTGACCTTTATGTAACACCCTTGCATAAGGACTACGTGTTGCTTGATGCTGGGCTGTTCTGAGAATGAACCTGCTTGTGAAGATGGAGTGAGATCCATTCAAAGCAAGTCCAAAGGCGGAAAACGTTTTGTTCAGGAAGATTTCTCTAGACTAGATGGATAGTCTAGAGCAGTGATGGCGAACCTTTTAGAGACCGAGTGCCCAAAAACTAGCCCCGCCTCCACTCCACCCCGTCCCACCCCCACCCCGCCTGCCCCCAGGGCCACTCACTGCCTCCAGGGCCCACCGCAGATCGTCCAGGTAGCCCAGCAGCGCCATGGCCACGCCCTCTCCCCGCGCCCTGCAGCATCAACTGTGCACAATGGGGCATGAGGGCAGAGTCTTGTCTATGCTGCCTGGCTGCCATGTCCTTGGCTGCGCTGCTCCGCGTGGGCCACACTTGGCGACTCTCCTCCAGGGGGGCTGCTGCTGAGGGGGTCACAGGGGGAGGCAAGGCTGGGGCAACGGCACGTGTGCCCACAGAGAGGGCTCCGAGTGCTGCCTCTGGCACCAGTGCCATAGGTTCGCCACCACTGGTCTAGAGAAAAGAAAGACTAGTGGCAACATGATAGCAGTGTTCCAGTATTTGAGGGGCTGCCACGAAGAGGAGGGGGTCAACTTATTTTCCAAAGTACCTGAAAGCAAGACAAGAAACAATGGATGGAAAGTAATCAAGGAGAGAAGCAACCTGAAATTAAGGAGAAACTTCCTAACAGTGAGGACAATTAACCAGGGGAACAGAAGTTGCCTCCAGAAGTTGTGGGTGCTCCATCACTGGAGGTTTTTAAGAAGAGACTGAACAGCCACTTGTCTGAAATGGTATAGGGTTTCCTACTTGAGTAGGGGATTGGAGTAGAGGACCTCTAAAGTCCCTTCCAGCTCTATTCTGATTGATTGATTGATTGATTGATTGATTGATTGATTGATTGATTTCAGATTATGCAACATGTGGGAAGTATGTAGCATGTGGGTTTCAGTGGCCCAGTTTGGCTGCCAATTAGGTGTCTCTTTCCCTATTTCGACCTTGGATAAGTTCTTCTCCCTCTGGATCTACACTTCCCTTCTCTCGTGGAAGTCACGCTTAGATCCTTCTTCTCCCATCCTCACCAGGAACTGACAACTGCTTGGCAAACTTAACTTCTCTCTCTTCAGCTTTTCACTTCACACAAATGAAGAACTGGATGTCTGCTCAGAGAAGACCCTTCTGGAGGAGGATGAATGAGTAGTGGGATTCCTACTGTTGATGTTTCCCATCATACGGTGTTTAATGTACAGGATCTGTCCTTTCTCTAGCATCTGCAGGATGCATCGAAACTTTTGTGGACAGCCAGAAAAAAAAATATCCCTGTGTTGTTTGAAATAGAATCTGAAGCATTGCACGGACTTCTGAACAGGCTGAGCATCCTGGTAGTTTCTATTGTAGTTGGAAAAACCTCTCTAAAGCTTTTGAGCCGTACTTGGAGGCAAGGAGTTCCACGGGATTAAGAGCTTCTGTCTTGTAGTAGACCATCTCTGATCCATCAAACACAAGGACAGTCAGCGTCCTTGTATGACTTTTGTTGTGATGCTACTCATGGAATATTCTGGAACTTACAAAACCTGGGACAGGGGTTCCTTGGGAAGACAGCAGCTGGGGAGGGGGCCAACGACTAAAAAACACACAGATTTTAAACCAGAATTATTTTTGTTACACATAATTGTAGGAAACTATGAAAAAGAGTATTTATATCTAATTTTACATGTATCAACTGCAGCAAGAATTGTATTTGCTCAACATTGGGAAAGTGTAGATTTACCAACGGAGGTAAAAGTTAATTAAAAAAAATTAGATTATGCAGAAATGGATAGATTGACATTGAAAATGAAAGAGAAAGAAGATTCAGTATGTTTTGGAACATGGGATACCTTTTATCAATGTATATATATATACAAAAAAGAACTCTTAGCAAAACAACACCTGATACCCCCTCCCCCATTATCTTGGGAGTGCTTACCTTTCTGCCACATTCTTCGCTGTTTGCAGGAACCGTGCATGATCGCTCTCTTTCAAGATATGTTCAGCTTGGTTGATGAGGACCGTGGACCGTTCCAGGCACTGCCGGCAGTTGGCTACCTGCTGGGCTAGCTTCCTCAGCTTCATCACCTTGGGGAACAAAAACAGAGGATGCTACAACAACAACCGGAATCTCATTAGCAGGCATCATGTTTGGAGGAAACAGCCAGGTGTCTAAGGCATCCCTTTAAAATTAAGGGACAGGGGAGCAAAGTAGAGAATGAGCTAGCAGATGAAAGAAAGTTGATGGGGATCCAGATCCTGCAGGGTGATCTCGCTGCCAGATCGATTCTGGGAAAGGAAGCATTGTAACAACTGCAGGCAGGGAGAAACCTTCTCAGTGGGGGACCAGACTTTCAGACTGCAGGATAATACGTACTTAGTAGCTCTTGGAATCATTAGCAGCTTCCATAATGAATTCGCAAAAACATTTCCACTCTCTGGTCCATCCCTCTGTCAGGTTTAGCTAGACCCAGAAACAGAAATTCTCATGCTTTGTTTTGTTTTAAACTCCTAGCATTCTCTCAGTTCCAAATTTTGCTTCAGAGGGACAAAGGGAATTTTAAAGAAATATTCATGGATGGCATATGGTTTTCTTGCACTAATTTGACGATAGAGCAACTGAGGAGTAGATGTGAATATCCTTATTTTCACTGAACACTCTGCAAGTCACTACATTTCTTTAACTTTCCATGGCCAATAAATTGGATGGGTGGGTGGGTGGATGGATGGATGGGTGGGTGGGTGGGTAGGTAGGTAAATAAGTAGGTAGGTAGGTAGATAGATAGTTGATAGATAGATAGACAGATAGACAGATAGATAGATAGATAGATAGATAGATAGACAGACAGACAGACAGACAGACAGACAGACAGACAGACAGACAGACAGACAGACAGACAGTTTCCATCTGATCCCAAAGGAAGACATCCAGAGGAAGCGTAATAAAAGGGAAGAATCCCATCCTTGAAAAATGGGAGAATTTTTCTTCCTCTTGGAGGAATTTAGGGAAGCTGTCCACCTAATCTCTGGAGAGCATCAACCAATCACTTGTGTCTTGCTGTAGCTTTAACTTGTTACACCTCTCTCCTTCATTTCTGCTATCTTTCAGCTCTTTCTAAATACAAGTGAACATGTAAAGAAGGTCACTAGGAACTGAGTCTTGGTGCCTCCTGGTGGTCAATGTCACCAAGACCGGATATCTTTTCGTTATTCCAGTTTTATTCTACTTGGTGTTTGGTTGAAAAGTGCTGAATACATTGAATTAGAACGGGGAGGGGGACATCAGATATCTGATCCAAATTCCTCCTTTGTTGACCAGTCATCTAGTCTTCAAACAGAAGACCCTATACCATTCCAGACAAATGGCTGTCCAGTCTCTTCTTAAAAACCACCAGTGATGGATCACCCACAACTTCTGGATGTTCCACTGATTAATTGTTCTCACTGTCAGGAAATTTCTTTTTATTTCTAGCTTGCTTCTCTCCTTGATGAGTTGATAAATGACTAGAGTTCACCTCATGTTCCCCAGTTGGAAAGCATTATTTTGGAAAGCCAGGTTTAGTAGGTAAGGCAGGTTTGCAAAAAAAAAAAAAAAAATGCAAACATAAAGGCATATGCTAATCACCAACCATCTTTTTTAGGCTTTTCTTTGTCTTGGAGGAAGCTGCGAAAAGCAACAAAAATTATTACGGGGCTGGAGGCTAAAACATGCGAAGAACGGTTGCAGGAATTGGGCATGTCTAGTTTAATGAAAAGAAAGACTAGGGGAAGACATGGTAGCAGTCTTCCAATATTTGAGGGGCTCCTACAAAGATGAAGGGGGTCAAACTATTTTTCCAAAGCACCAAAAGACAAGATAAGAAATAATGGTTGGAAACCAACCGAGGAGAGAATCAACCTAGAATTAAGGAGAAATTTCCTAACGGGGAGGACAATTAATCAGTGGGACGGCTTGCCTCCAGAAGTAGTGGGTGCTCCATCACTGGAGGCTTTCAACAAGAGATTGGACAACCATTTGTCTGGAATGATATGGGGTCTCCTGATCGAGCAGTGGGTTGGGCTAGATGGCCTCCAAGTTCCCTTCCAACTCTATTATTCTGTGTACTATGGCTCCTCCAGAGTCCCTAGAGCCCAAAGAGTGCAGGAGCATTTCGCATTACTTTGCCACCATTATTACAAAGACTGCATAATGACATTGTTTTATCCCCTCTCTGGTGCAATGTGAATTAAAAAGGGTTGTGTGTGGAAAGTTGTTGTTTCATCCCAGCCGCCCCTTCCAGGGAGATGCACCTTGCATACCTAGCTCCACCCGATTCCTTCCCTAGGATTACTGGATTATTTCTATGCTTCGCAGGGAACAGGGAAACGTGACAGCAACTCTCCAAACGCTTCCTTGTCGGCTTCTAAATCTGAGCTGAAGTAGCTGCCAAGAGCAGGCTGTCAGTCTGAGCCCCTCTCTGACAAGTGACGGGGAAACGAGAAGAGACCCACGCCCACGGCTGAAATGTGGCAGCATCGTTCTCTGTGGGTGCCTGTCACTTCTGTCAAAGAAGGTGCGATTAACCCTTGCCCCAACGGCAGCCTCAACTCCATTCCTACGTCCCCTGGAACCTTTACCTTTGCTCTGCTCAAACTCTTAAGTGGGTGTTGTTGTTTTTATTTGTTTGTTTTTGCTGGGTTTTGTTTTTTACACTCTTGCATCCAGAAATCCTAGATGAAAGGCAATACAAAATCTGCAGGCAAGCATCAGCTTACAAAACAAGAATTCACAGGTTCTTGGCACTCTCTGAGCTTGGCTGTTTTCTTGCAGACGTTTCGTTCCCCAAACTAGGTAACATCATCAGGGCTAATGGGTGCTTTCTGAGGTGTTTGATGCCCATATGTGGCACCAACAAAGGAGAATATTTGTAGGGTTGAAATCAGGGGTCCTTGGTGCTGTCTGAGCTTGGTTTCATTCCCCAAACTAGGTAACATCATCACTGCTAGCATAGATGAAATGTTTGAGTGAAGCTATTTTCCAAAGCGCCTGAAGGCAGGACAAGAAGCAACGGATGGAAACTAACCAAGGAGAGAAGCAACCTAGAACTAAGGAGAAACTTCCTGACAGTGAGAACAATTAACCAGTGGAACAACTTGCCTCCAGAAGCGGTGAATGCTCCAACACTGGAAGTTTTTAAGAAGAGACTGGACAGCCATTTGTCCGAAATGGTGTAGGGTTTCCTGCCCGAGCAGGGGGTTGGACTAGATGACCTCCAAGGTCCCTTCCAACTTTATTATTATTATTATTATTATTATTATTATTATTATTATTATTATTATTATTATTATTATTATTATTATTATTATTATTATTATTATTATTATTATAAACCACCAAGCTCGGAGGGTGCCAAAGACTTCTCATTTCAACCCTGAGTTACAAATATTCTCCTTTGTTGGCAAGAATTCACAGCTAGCCATTCCATTCCCCACAATCTCAGACTTAGGAGTTAGATTTCCACACTATAGCAGACTAAAATGAGGTTGAGTAAAGGGTTCAGTGTAGGGTGGAAACCCAGCCATCATTCAACCTCATTCGTCTTGTATGTAGTAATTCTCTCTCTCTCTCTCTCTCTCTCTCTCTCCCTCTCTCTCTCCCCCTCTCCTTCTCTCTCTCTCTCTCCCTCTCCTTCTCTCTCTCTCTCTCTCTCTCTCCCTCTCTCTCTCTCTCCCTCTCCTTCTCTCTCTCCTTCTCTCTCTCTCTCTCTCTCTCTCTCCCTCTCTCCAGCTCCAATACCTGTTTTCTTTCTACATGAGGCTCCCACCTCCCTACTACCACCTTAAAGTTCCCTCCACCACAAAAGGTCTCTTGGTTACACGCGAGGAACTGTCACTGAGAAAATCAGAGCTGAGGTAGGAAAGAAAGCATCCCCTATTTCAGAAATAGAATAAATTTTTAAAAAGCCGTCAGCTATATTGTCACAATACCATCAACGAGAGGGAAAATAAAACGCAGGGAATGTTATCAAAGATAAAACGGCAAACATTCAAAGAAATGCAGCACCAGATATGATGGCAAGCCTATCATACGCCGCCTTGTTCCAGTTTTTAGCCAAGGGAAAAAAGCTGTAAGAATAGAAGACAGAATAACAGAGTTGGAAGGGAACTTGGAGGTCATCTAGTCCAACCCCTTGCCCCGGTAGGAAACCCTATACCATTTCAGAAAAATGGTTGTCCAATCTCTTCTTAAAAACTTCCAGTTTTGGGGCAAGTTGTTCCACTGATTAATTGTTCTAACAGTCTTGAAATTTCTCCTTAGTTCTAGGTTGCTTCTCTCCTTGGTTAGTTTCCACCCGTTGCTTCTTGTCCTGCCTTCAGGCGCCTTGGAGAATAAGTTGACTCCCTCTTCTTTGGGGCAGCCCCTCAGATATTGGAAGGCTGCTATCATGTCCCCCCTCGTCCTTCTCTTCATTAAACTACACATACCTAATTACAAATTACAAATGCCCAAATTTGGGTTTTCATTTAAAAAAAAAGTCATCTGATGGAAACAATCAGTTGTAGTCATCTTATAAGGCAAGAAGATTGCCTCCAGAAGTTGTGGATGCTCCAACAGGGAAGTTTTTTAAGAAGAGATTGGACAACCATTTGTCTGACATGGTATAAGGTCTCCTGCTTGAGCAGGGGGTTGGACTAGAAGACCTCCAAGGTACCTTCCAAATCTCTTATTCTGTATTTTGGAGGTAATTCACTCCATCCAATAAAGATTTACAAAGCCAACCCTTGGAAACTTTAAGTAAGCTTTCAGAATAACACTTCCAGGCTAGAATTGCCAAATATGTATCACAACTGAGCATTTTAAACCTAAAATTTGCTCCTTGATCTTTGCAGGGCCCATCTTCAAAAATAACCCCATGTCAGATGATCAACTACTCCCCCATTATGGAAGATATTAGGAGCACGGTTTCCCCAATCAAGGACTGCAAAGCAGAGATACACCCTCCAAAACTATATCTTCTAAGATACAAGTGGAAGATATTTAGATGTGGTTATCTCTCTTGGATAGGTGGAAATTATGACATTTGTACTCCAGAATCTTTATCTGGGATCAATAAATAATTCTGTTATTCTGTTCTATCTGTGGAGATCCTCAATCATCCAAGTCATGGTTGTCCCAAAGGTGCTTTTTCCAAAAGACACCTGGATTTTCTTGGGTATTTTTTTTTTCCTTGAAAACATTTCACTTCTCACCCAAAAAGCTCCAAGAAGAAAAAAACACACAAGAAAGTCCAGCTGCCTTTTGGAAAAGCACCTTTGAGACATATGGCAAGTATACTGTAACAAGAATAGGGCAGTCCTTTGATTTCCTGGGGTTAATCTTACTGGAGTCCCTGAGCTGTCTAGAGAGAAACAAGCATTGGCCAATTCCAAGCTCTGATGAACAAGCAAACATCCTCTTTTCCCAGCATAATGCCTGAAATCTTCTCTTTTAGATTGAAGGAGAGAGGTGAAAAGTCTTGGGCCAGGCTGAGGACAGACACGTCTTGTGATGGAATTGTACGTTTACAGCCAGTGACAATTTAATGGATGTCAGATGTTGTGCTCCAGTCTAGGCTGCTCCTGCTATCTTGTCACAGTTGGCCAAACATAACTAATAAAAAGAGGCATTGGCCAGGGGCATTGTGTTGCTGTTTAATCTAACAAGGTGCTGGAACCAAATTTGATTTCAAGAACAAGGGGAGTTTCTATAATTGCCCAGTGTTGGAAGCTCCAGAGTAAAGAAAGAACAAGAAAAAAATTCACAATGTCCCCAGAGGCCATTTACTACTGCCTGAGCAGACAGCAAAGACAAAATCCAGCAGAAAATAAGCAAAAATGGTGGAGGATTTCAAACCAACAAAGAGGGGAAAAATTGCTTTGTGGCTGAAGATCTCCAGTTCAATCTTTGAACTCTTCACTGCCAAAACAAGGGGTCTGAAAGGAAGCGATTAAACAGGTCTAGAGAACTTTTGTGAGTTAGGGAGTCATGGACTTCAATAAGGACTCACCGTAGTCCTGCTCCATTAGAATTTAGCATTCCAAAAAGCTTCTTTTCATTTTAAATCTGAAGGATGCTTGTTGCAAAGTCAGGCTAACCTACTGGGCCAGTTTCTGGCATCACGTTTATTTACAAGGATGCTTTTGGGTCTTGAGTAAGCTCTAGATGTAGTTTGAAAAAGTAAAAATTCCGGGTGCCTACATGCCTTAAAACGGGTCCATAACAATCAAGTTGGCAGGAGAAATGCAGAACATTCTAGGGACCTGAAAGACAAGGAAGAACTGTCTTCAATTTGTCCTCTAGTAAATCAGTGTTTTATGGCTTGCTATACCCATCAGGTCTTGTGAATGGGCAATCTTCCCATGATGCCATTATGGAACAGATATTTTAAAAATATTAAATGTGCCTCCGGACCAAAGAAATTGAGGTCCCCCTGGAGTTCATGGACAAGCAGTCCAACCTGGTACAAGAATAACACTTGTATTCTTGGAAAAGTTGACTCTTCTGGCATAAAATGGGCTTTGCTCTCCTAAGAAATGATCTTCTCTTGGATATCTTCCGGGTTTCTTCAGCCGGAAATTTAACTACAAGGCTGCTGTGCAGAGCAAGTAGCAGCTTCCTTTNGAGGTCCCCCTGGAGTTCATGGACAAGCAGTCCAACCTGGTACAAGAATAACACTTGTATTCTTGGAAAAGTTGACTCTTCTGGCATAAAATGGGCTTTGCTCTCCTAAGAAATGATCTTCTCTTGGATATCTTCCGGGTTTCTTCAGCCGGAAATTTAACTACAAGGCTGCTGTGCAGAGCAAGTAGCAGCTTCCTTTCTTCCACCCTGCCAAAATCTGCAGGTAGCTCCGTTCCTGCCAATCTTTCTCTGCTCACCTTCTTTCTTCATTACTGGAAAATGTCACCGCCAATGCTATGCAAAAGAAAGGTGCTCATTCCAGCAAACAGCAGGCAGACCAGGCTTCAAACAGCTGTTTGCACAAGGAAATGACTCTCCTGCTGAGATTTAATGGGTTGATGGATGGTTCATCTATGCCCAAACTCATCAAGAAGATGATCCGGAGATAGAAAAGAGGGAGGGAGAGTCAGAAGGAGAGGGAGCTACCAAAACATGGTGAGAGGAGCCTGGTAAAATGTCAAGCAGATTTTAATCTACCTCCAACACCTTAAAAATGCTTCCTCCTTTGAGGAGAAGGTCCTCAAGGAAGCATCCTGCATTATCCTAATCAAGGAGAGAAGCAACCTAGAACTAAGGAGAAATTTCCTGAGAGTTAGAACAATTAATCAGGGGAACAGCTTGCCTCCAGAGGTTGTGGGTGCTCCATCACTGGAGACTTTTAAGAAGAGTCTGGACAACCATTTGTCTGAAATGATATAGAGTTTCCTGCTCGAGAAGGGGGTTGGACTAGAAGACCTCCAGGTTCCCTCCCAACTCTGTTATTCTGTTCATGTCAGATTTCATAAACCAAAGTATTTGACATCTCAAACCAAAGATCTATTACTGCTATTGAAATCAAAACAAAACACTTTGCCCCCAGCTGTTAAGTTTCCCTCCTGTTCCTCCCACCCTTAATGCCAAATCTAAGAGGGCAGAAACACTGCCCAGACATTTTCAGAAATCCAAAGCTTTGACCCGAGAACACACAAAACCCTCTTGCTAAAAATATTCTCCACCAATGGGGAAAAACCAGTCCTGAAATCATAATCGCCAGCTGTCTTTTTCTGGTTTACTTTTGGGGAGGTGAGCAGTTAATACGATTCGTGTTAGCTTTGTCAGTCATGCGATGCCTTCTGGCATTGGGGTCCCTCTTCCGCTGGTCTTCTACCTTCTAAGATTCTAAGGAATCGTTTTAATTTCAAGCATGTCTTGGGAATTTCAAACAATCGAAGCTGGGCAAGGATCATACCTTGCAGAAGCCCATGTAGGAGCAGCTGCAACTCATGGCACAGAAGTAACAGTCACCTGGACACATTTCCCTGTCTGATTCACAAGGCAGAGAGACTTGTAATACCCACATAACAAACATCTTTTTTTCAGTCAAAAACTGACAGTCTCGGCACACTGTGCCATTACTGTCAGGCCAACTTGATGTGATCGCTGAAGGAGCTGCTAATTTTTCTCTGATGGCTAAGTTCATGAATATTAAGTTGGTAGTTTATGCACTGTTCGTGAATATTAAGTTGATAATGGTGTACTTGTTCAGGAAATATATTTCTGTGGTGGCTGCTTTGGGGAATCTGACCATAACAATCATACTTATTGTTATTAAGAGCTGTGGTGACACAGTGGTTAGAAGGCAGTATTGCAGGCTAACTCAGCTCACTGCCAGGAGTTCGATCCTGACTGGCTCAAGGTTGACGCATCCTTCCATCCTTCCGAGATCAGTAAAATGAGGGCCCAGATTGTTGGGGGCAATTTGCTGATTCTATAAACCGCTTAGAGAGGGCTGTAAAGCACTGTGAAGGGGTATATAAGTCTAGGTGCTATTGCTATTGCTATTATTGCTGTATTTTGCAGTGGAAACCAAACAGTTGGACAACGGAAGGGTTGATCTTCTGAAAAGTAGTCTATAAACTCATAAAGGGAGCTGGCTTGCCAACCAAATAGGGCACTGAGGTTCTATCACACCAAGAAAACAGCTGCCCTAAAGAGAAGCACTCAGAAATAAAGTGGGCTTCGCACTCAATCAGCAGCTTCTGTTAACCATTCCAACTCCACTCCCGTCTCCTAACAGCATCGCTGTCCTACCTTCGTCTCTTTGATCTTGACAGCGATCACTTGCTTGCGCTGGCGGATGATGTCCACTAACTTATCGCATTCCTCCATCAGTTTGGCCTCATGCATGGCTGTGTTTACCTAAACAGGAGAGAAAACAGAGGGGAAGGAGGAACCGGTAAGAATGGAGCAGAGTGAGGACTATGTATGTCCTGTCTATAGCAAATGCTATAAGAGTTTGGTCTAGTGGTTAAGCCAGTAGGCTAGAAATTGGGAGACCGTGGGTTCTAGTCCCACCTTAGGCATGAAAGACAACTCTCTGACTTTGGGCCAATCACTAGGAGACTATGAGTTCTAGCCCCGCCTTAGCCATGAAAACCAGCTGGGTGACTTTGGGCCAGTCACCAGGAGACAGAGAGTTCTAGTCTCACTTTAGGCATGAAAGCCAACTCTCTGACTTTGGGCCAATCACCAGGAGTCTGTGAGTGGAACGGCTTGCCTTCAGAAGTTGTGGATGCTCCAACACTG